TTAGAATAAGTTATTTTTTGCAACGCTTGCACTCAACATTATACGCATATTAAAAATCCCTTCAGAGTTTTACAACAAACATCCGCTCTGTAGGCTAAGGAAAAGACTTCCCGCCAGTTAAAACTCACTTTGAAAATTAGTACACGCCATTTGTGATCTGTCACCGGAAAATCTTGAACGAAAGAAACGATCGAAAGAGGTTTCTTAGAAGCCATCTTTGTTTGCCCACTTGCGCGCGGTAAGGAGACTGAACACTACCAAATCTGTTTCAGCCAATAAGAAAAATGCGAAATGTTTGGACCAATCAAATTCTAATCAAAGAAAAGCGCGGAAAATATAATGCTGACTCGTCGTTCGAGAAGCTACTTCGCCATAAACGCCATCGCCACACAATGGTTTGGTTAGATTTTTGGTTGGAATTTGGCACTCTCACCGCCTTTTGGACAATATTTTGACAAGGATTCTAACTTTATAATCAGGTAAGGTAATTTCCGTGGGCAAAGTTTGCCTGAAAAGGCGAATAATTCAGACATCGACACAATTGCTGATCATTGCTGTGCATGCGCGCAATCTTCCCGTCTTATCACATCGACCGTTCGATTTTCGAATCGAACTCTTAATCAAAACAGAACAAAAGACTGCGTTTGTTTAACAAGGAAAAGTCTTTCAGCTTCAAGTTCAGTGCAAGTTTAAATCGTCTTGGGAATCGTCTCTATGGTTATCCTTCGTGGATTATTAAATTGTCCTGAATCGTAGACTAGTATAATTATTATTTCCAACTGCAGCGCTTATGAGATTTCCTTGGCTTGTCACTTTCCCAAAATGTCCCGATTTTCTCGGGAACATTAATTCCACCTCCAACTACTAACAGCTAACAGATAAAAATAAGCCCGGAAAAACGACCCTGAAACTTACACTGAGATTTTATTTTTCAGTTGCCAAAGCGGAGATACTGAAACTTTGAATCATGTCCGCACGATTGTGTTTTGTTCGGACATCGAACTCACAAAAACGTTCTGTGTTCGATTTCGTTCGATAGCCGAACTGCATTGGACTCTTTTGTTGCAGTTCGTTGCAAATTTTGTTCGATTTTGTATGGTGTGATACGCTGGGAATATATTTTTGCTGTTAGGAACCTGAAGCTTATGCATCTTTTAATGTGTATTCGAAATGTAGATTCCTCTACTATTAAAAGGCTCAGAATAGTGGGAGGACATGTTACTGTTTGTCCTTTGCTCCCCATGATTGAGTAACTTTATTGTAACTGCTTTACATTTGATAATGAATGTACTCAAATGTTATCAAACCGTCCAAGCTCCCGATTTCGCTTGAAAATCCCGAATCCCCCTTTAATACAATCGGGATGGGAAAAATCCCGATTTGACCTTTGTTCTGATATTTTCAAATGAATTCTTATGACACTGATACAAGAACACCTAACAGAGTCTACTTAACTAAAGTTGATGTCCAGAAAACTTGAAAAAAAAAAAAAATGTATATATATATATATATAGAGAAATTAAAATCGTGTACTTGTGTGTGCAGACACCCAAATAAAAATAAGCAGAGAAAATAATGGCAATCGATTTCTGTGATTTAGCGAACACAGCATGCAAAGAAAGTAGTGTCCGATAGCCCAGGGCTAGTGGGGTTTGCTATAGGGCTAGTGAATTCTGTTTTTAACTTGCCCACCTGGCAAGGGATGTTTTTTGACGAATTTGAATAACAGAAGAACTGTGAAATCAATTCTGCTAGTCAAAAAGATTTTGCGGATAGTTGAAATGATGTCTGGGCTAGTAAATGCTAGCTTCAGCTTTCCCAAATGGAAAGCCGTAAAAAATGATTTTTCTTTGTACCCTAGAACACAACAAAAGTGTCCTCTCAGAACACTGGAAATGGCTTTTTAGTCAGAGCATCAAGATTTAAAAATATTCTATGGGAAAAGCCCCCAGACCCCCGTAGTGGCTCATCAAGTCGGCAGACGTGTGATTCATTGATGATTAAAAAATATCCAGATTTTACATACTCAAATGGTTGGACAGTCTGTATTATGATGTGCATTTAAAATTTAGCTTTTGATACATAGCCGCTCCCGCAGGCCCACAATTTTCTAAATGATCAAGTCAAACTGGATTATGCACAGACTGTATAACCCAGTCAATAGTTAAAGCATCAACTGCTTTGTCAAATTAAGAGTAATGTACATTCAAAATGCTTCGCATGAGTCATTAACTTCAAATGTGATAACTAGTGATAAATAATAATTATGTGAGTATGTTGATATTTAAACTTGCTGTCAAGTGTTCTGCTAAAAGCCCTTATTTATAAGTGAGCATCACATGCTCACTTGTAAGAGCCCCTTTACTGTAAACAACCATTTCTAGTTGTGACCTCTTTTATAGAAAGGGTTTTGTTTACACCAGACGCAACGTCTGGCTGTTTGACATGTAGCATCCTGTACTTCGCACTCAAAATAATGTATTATTTCTGTAAGTTTGGAAATCGTTTCTTTTTCCATTTATTACTCAAAGATAGATAATGACCCTATGCAATGCATGATACAATGGAAAAAAAGAGGTAATTCCTGTCATATAAAATAAAAAACGAACAACTGCAAACCAATATTATCATAATACTGCCAAACCAAATATTTCATTTTATGTAAGCTTTTTTTTAATGCCTCAAAAGACCTTCCCAGTTAACCAATTCCCTTCAAGGGAACGCAGGAAATTGCATTCCAGAGAATCTAATTTTAAAAACCTCCCGGGGCGAGCATGCCGCCTAGACCCCCCTAGAAGTGGGTGCCTCTGACACTCAACAATCGTGTGGTGGAATGAACTGTGCAAGTATGCCAGCTGAACCAAGCCTCTGCATCCGGTAAATCTACTTCCAAATGCTACTACAAACCCTGTATAGATTCTCAAGATGGAACCTTGCATACAAGAGCATTGAATGTACAGTGTAGTTGGGTGAGTTGGATGTCATCAACTGTGCATTGCCCAATGCTGATCTGTATTTTTTTTTTTCCACACTGCCTTTGCACTACATGTAGGCCATATCCAAATTCCAAAAACGTTCACTTTGTAAACAAGTTTACAAAATGTACGTACAAAACCTATCTTGTAAAAATGAATTTTATTTCCACGAGAATAAAATATCATTTTCATACCAGTGACCTTGCACTTACCCTCCCTTTGAAATAGTGACTTGGGGCAACTCAGAAATGGCCTACATATTTATTGCAGGGTTCGCACAGTCTTGATATTAAAGTCCTTAAATTTTAGGGAAAGTCCTTGAAAAATCCTTGAATTTCATTTTTCCTTGAAAAGTCCTAATAAATTTCCATGCAAGTCCTTGAAAAGTCCTTGAATTTTCTTCTACTTTGAATGTACAGTAGTGGCCTGGAAAGTGTTTTTTGATGCCTTTTGGTTGTCCAAGACAGGATATGAATCATTGATCTCTTGCTCTCGATTTTATATTTGTTATGCATGTAGTTAAAGTTCGGAAGGTATGTTGTTGGTCAATAGGCAAAGCTTTGCCAGAAATAGAATTATATTTAATACCATTCATTCACATTGGCAGTTTGGGAGCATTTCTTTTCTTCTGTTTGGGAAAACAAAGCAAAAACTACATTGTATGAAGCATTAAGCAGTGAATAACCAAAGCGAAAGCTAGTTTCAAAAAATAAAATCTCTTTCAAACTAGTTAAGGATTTTGCGTTAACGCAAAAAACATGCGTGTGTTTTGCGTGTGCGTTGGTCGCTTATCTCTGAGCTGTACTGTAGCTCAGAGAATGTAACTTTAGGGTTATTTACAGAGTGCTCAATCAGGGTTGTGATTAAGAGCCGGGGGCCGGGGATTTTCCCCGGGTACTAAGAGAGTGGCCCCCGGCTACTTTTATTGGAAAATAGAACAAAAATAGAACCAAAAGAAATCCCTAGTCCTTTGATTCCCCGCCTACTTGTTGTATTTACCCGGCAACTTGAAATCTTAGTGACAACCCTGGCTCAATGTTTTATGCCATCAATTAACTATCAGTTTAAGACAAGTAAACTGAAGAATGTAGAGAAGTTGGTGAAACAAACAGTTCAAGCCTTAAAGCCTTATTAGAACAGACTGGGATTGTGTATTTTTGTAGAATCTGTGAAATTATATTCCTAGTAGGTGGTCCTTTAAAAGTCCTTGAAAAATGGTTGCATTTTTTTGTATGAACCCTGTATTGTAATACATTTAGTTCCATTAGTTTGTAACTCAAAGATGGAAAAAAAAAAACTTTCTCAACAATGTTAACAATCATACACTGCAGTAACAATAATGATAATAATAATAATAATTATAGGAATATAGGGCTGTGCTATAAAAGAAAGTAAAATGTCAGTTTATAGTAGGTTTTCAACAAGGGACTGATCTGTATGGCTCTGGGACTGAATGTGTCAATTCACACATTTCGGTGTGTGTCTCTGAGCATTGAAGTACATTAATTTATTGCATGATCACCATCCAACTGACCACCAGCCCATTACATAACAGTGTTCTAATCAGGTTTTAACTGGTAAAATGATTGTACTGCTTTAAGCAACCCTTTTTACTGCCTGAAGTCATGTTTCAATAATTTTCTTAACAAGCAGGTGCCAATAGTAAAATAGGCAGTGGTGACAAGAAAAGGGGCTGTAAGGTCTCTTCCTTTCGGATGATCTGGATCAGGATCAGTTTGATCACTGATCATCTCCAAGGAATGCACTCCCAGACTCTAAACAATCCTAAACAGTTCTTTCTGATCTGTGCCACAAACTATAGGTACCAACCAGCTCAGAGTAGTATGTTATCTTAGCACTGGATATAAGCCTCTTCGCCATCACTGACTTTTCAGCATAGGCCTCCCTATGAAATGTAAAACCTGTTGTCCTCTGCCTTCTCTCACAGCCCTTAGCTTCTAGATTTCAAATTTTTCAGTGGAGCATACCTCCAGACCCCCCTGAAACAATTTTCACACGCTAGGAATGCTGTGGTTTCGTCCTATTTTTCCTATTTTTTAGCTGCTGAAGCCAAAATTTGTAACCAAATTGAAAATGGAATTACAGTTATTTGTGTTTTTGAGTGAGATTTATCATAAAGCAAGTAGTATTTTGAATTTGATGTTCTAAATATTAGCAAAAATAATAGTTACGCTTGTTTTTTCCATGACCTCTATTGCCTATTAGAGTTCTGTTGACAACTTTGTTATATTGTTACTTTTTGTACAATTTTCTAGCGCACCTACATGTATTGTATGCCATGTTATTGTTCTCATGACTATTGAATAATATTGTGCATAGTTTACTGTAACTGCATTTCAGTATGTGCATGTTCTTGCTCGCTTTTATGTTCATCTTTGAAACTGAAAACAGGATCAAGTTGTCCTCTCACAATACAGGGCAGATAAATCATCCAATCAGCTTCTTGTTTAAAAAACCAATCACTATAGCTGATTCTGGATGCTACATGAAAAGAACAGACTTAAGGCTACTATACATACATGTAAATAACAACTGACGAAGGATCCAACACTTTGGTTCCAAAACCGGTCTTGCAGTTAGTAATAGATAAGCAGAGTGTTATGTTCTTCTTAGAATTTAACCATGACACACTTACAATCTGGTACCAAATAGATCTGTGTCATTTTGCTAGAGCACAGCCTTGATCAAAGTTTATGATATGACATCATTAGGGCCTTAGGATAATCAGAACTAGTGATACTCTTGTTACTAGACCTATCAGCGGTTTTTGATACAGTTGATCATAATATCCTGCTGTCACGTTTGAAATCAAGATTCAGAATCAATGGCATTGCTCTTGACTGGTTCACGTCCTATCTTTACAAAAGGACTTATGCTGTCACTGTTGCAGGTGGTCGGTATACTGACAGAGTGTTCATTAGGCATTGGAGATCTTTAACTTCGCCATTAACTATGCAGGATTCTCTGGCAAATGTTTGGTAGCCTATGACTATTTTTTATTCAGACATGAAGTCTCTTTCAAAATATTCTCCTGTAATGTTACACATTTCTCCTGCTACTAGTAAGAATTCTTGATGAAAACTGTGACTGAGTGACCTCTTATGACTGGTGTGCCACAAGGGAGTGTCCTGGGGCCTATAGTATTCGCAATGTATACTTCACTTTTTGGAAATTTCATTAGGCTACGTTGGCCTGAGTCACCATCTGTATGCGGATGACACCCAGCTCTATGTCACTCTGTCCCTCAAGGTTCTGTTTAAGGACCAGTGTTATTAATTCTCTATAATTATTTATCCATTTACCACTTAAAACTTGCATGGGAGACCAGGTCGAGATGGTTGTCAAAGTACACTGTGGTACTGTTTTTCAACGTTGAGACAAATTCATCCCCCGAAACAGTCTCACAATGCACTTTGACTACCATCTCGACCTAGTCTCCTGTGCAACCTCAAACTGGCGAATTGGAAGATGTAATTAATTTGGCTCACAGTTTAAATGCATTGATGTACACCGATGAGTCTCAGCTTAACAGCATTATTATAAGACAAAGCAATTGTGCTACAGCATTACAGGATTTTACGCTTTGTATCCAAGATATTATGTCCTGGAATGTCTCTAACATGCTTAAATGTACAAGAAGACAAGTCAGAAATCATTCAATTCTCCTCTCGTTTTTCAGCGGCCGATTCAGTTCCTGCTATCAAGGCTGGAGATTGCTCAGTTACTCCACGTAATAAAGTCGAAGACCTTGGGGGCAAACTTGTTTGCCATCTCACTTTTAAAATTCACATCAACATTTGTTGCTCCGCCTCACATTCTATTCACCACATCAGAAAAATTATGAAATTTCTATTCAGATCTGCTATGGAACGTGCTGTCTTATCAATGCATTTGTTTCTTCAATACTTGGTTTCTGCAGCAGCATTCTTCACAGCCTTCCCTCCTACGAGTTAAAGAAATTACCACGGTTGTCTTAGTTTTTGATAATTCTGGTTGTTGTAACTTATAAAGCGGGTTTAATGTGTATCTCAGCGAAGCACTATAGAGCATTCTTTTGCATTGGATCATGTAGTGCTATATAAGTAACTAATTATTATTGTTATTATAATTATTATTAAAATAATTGAAGGGAGCACAGCTGTGCCCTGAATTGGCAACATCCAGCATGCCCAGCATTTATGATTTCCATGAAAAAAACTGAGATTTTCTATAGTCACCCAGGGGCAAAAGTTACTAGGCATTAGGAGTCACAGGGGCTCTACTTGACGCAGCCTTGATACCCACATACATGACTTTTAAGTGTTTCAACCCGCTCTGTTTCTGATTTACAGGGAAAAAATGTCATTGGATGATTCAGGATACGATTCGCCATCTCTGAAAAAGAGCCAATCACGGCATATGGCTGCTTCAGCCAATGAGTGTTTGGGAGAAGATGACACCAAGAATGTGAGGTAAATTTAATCAAGAAAAAAGAGGTTTCTGTTATAGCCTCACTTACAGCCATCTCTTCTTATGTCTTTCAAAATTTTGTACACAATAATCTACAAGTTCCATAAACTTCAGTTTAACTTGCTATTGTAGAAACAATAATTTCCATTTCCATGTAAAATTTATCTGAACTGCAGGTCTGTAGGTCAGTTATAGGGCTAAGGGTTCTAGGATCTCAATAGCACATCCCCTCCCAAACCAAAACTTCTTGTTAACACTTGGATTAACATTAAACTCTTTCTTCCCTACAGTGAGACAGCGACTATCACAGAGGGTAAAAATCCTTTAAATGAGGGTGAAAGCAGCCTGACCACTAATGATGCAGTAGAGAAGAAAGAAAATTTCAGGTACAAGTAAAATTCTACTCTAAAGGTTTTTTAGCCACTTGAAGATGCACTTAAGTCTCCTAATTACAGGTGTGGGTACATGTACAGTAAATTTTGTTTAGTGAGTAAATGTTTACAACTTCAAGTACATTAGTAATAATGCAACTGGGAGTTGTTAAAATAACTTCCAGTTCAATAATTAAAAAATATAAAGACCTCACTCTGAAGGTCTCTGTAGGTGTGTCACGTTGTATTTTTGTAGTAGGTTGGCAGATAAATTAAATTCCTAGTTTAGAAAAAAATGAAACATCTTATTATTTGCGAAGGTGTAAAACAGCATAGTCTCGCACAAACGAGCAAGCAAAAACCAGCCATTTCTGCACGTCCGCCATGTTGGATTTCTCGGAGTAGCCTGGTCTTTTCTTTCTCCCGTTTCTATCAGGAGGTCTAAAAAATATTAATGAAGTGTTTTGGAGTTATCATTGTCAAAGGGTGCATGTATACCATCTGTTTTTAACTCAAAATTAATTCCGCCCTTTTGCAATTCATTACTTAACTTACATCTATGGCTTTTCCTTCTGACAAGAATGATTTACACAATTTGTTGAAATATTTTCACAAAATGTGTATTTCCAAAAAATATTCATACCCCCACACATGGCACTTTTGTTTTAGACCCCCACCCCCACCCCCCCTAGAATTTTCATTCCGGGGGGTGCTTGTGAGGATTTTGGCTTTTAGACTAAATCTACATGTACTGAAGTATTCCATATTGATAGATTCATTTAGACATTTTTCCGTTTGTAGCGGATGTATGGCTGTTTTAGAATGGCTTGATTTACTATTGTAACTGCAGCGATTGAGGAGTAGCAATGCATTACTATGTGCCTCTTATTCTTAAGTAACCTAACCCCAAGTTTATTTTTCTTTTCTTAGCACTGTGGCTGAGACCAAGTTGTACAATGTAATGTTCATTGGGCATGGAGACCATCCTAAAATCCTGCCTTGCCAATCGTCGGGTCAAGAAAGCATTCTTGACATGATTAAAAACAAAATAGGGATGCCAGATGTTAAAACAAGTCTAAATCCTGATTCTCTTGCCTTCTTTCTCTTTAAGACTGCCAACAATGTCTGCCTTAATGTTGGTTTGCCTGTTGGAGCTTTATCTGAGAAAGAAACCTATGTTTGTGAATTTAGACGAAAAAGTCTCCATCAGGTCACTGATTACATGCGCACATATGATGTGACTGAGTACAGTTCCAGCTGGAATATGCAACATTTCTTTGTATCATTAAGTGCCATTGCAGCTGGAGTTACCCCTTTCAAAACGAAATTCCATACCGATCCAAACATGCGATTACGGGTTGATTTTTTCGAAGATGAGTCCATTTTGGAAGCCTTGGCGAGAGATGGGAGATTTAATGTTATAAAGCTAGGATCCGGGGTAAATTGTGATCAAAAACCTTACCCTATGTTGTACAAGGCTGTTAACTGCCAGAACAAGACTGTTGAGATTTATTCCCTCGCAAAGAAAGAAACCAGTGTACTATCCCAACCCGTTCTTCCCCGGCCTCATCCAGACCTGCTTAAGACCAGTGTTAAAGCTGAAGCAAGCAAAGTCAAGGAAGAGGAGGATTCTGTTGCCACAGCAGGACCAAGCAGACCTGGGCTGCCAGCTGGTTCAAGCATTCCTGGCTCAACGACAAGCATATCTGAAGCAAGTGCTCCTAAGACCCTAACACAGTTGATCGGGTATGCATTCAAAACTGGAACTCTAAATGAAGAATTTAGAAAGCAACTAGCTAAGAAATGTAACATAAAATATCGTAACTTTGCTTTAAATCAAGGCTCGAGTGTCCCTGTAGTCCAAGTAAAGAGCCTTGCTAAAACAGCTGATGCGGTGGGAGCCATTTTTACACAAAATGTTGAAGGGTCCCTTAAGTTTCAAGGAACCTGTTTTGGAACAGGTGAACAGTACATAGTTACTAACTACCATGTGTATCGTCGACTGATTAGGGCCACAGCCTTTTTTATTGATTTTAACTATGAAGAAGGTGCAGCACCGAGTATCCCAGGGCGAAGATATGAGCCTGCTGATCACACGTACCTTGTATCGGAGTCTGAAGATTTAGATTACGCAATCTTGAAGTTGAAAGAACGAGATGACAAGTTGCCCCCTCCTTGCATTTTTAAAACTGGTGTGACAATCACTGACCCTCATACTTTTAATTTGTCTAAACTGGAAGGTCATCGTATCCATCTAATTGGCCACCCAAATGGGCAAGGAAAGGATATTGATTTCATGTGCCCAGTGGATACAGACGGCTGTAACCTTTACAACTACGCAATAAGGAATGGGGCTCGTATTGCGCGAGCAAATGAGGTACATCGCACCACACAAAATCCAGAACGGGTTACTTATCATGTGAGTAGTTTTTTTTTTGGCTCTTCGGGCTCTCCCGGGATCCTTTTTAAGGATGGCAAGAAACAACTGGTGGTTCTTCATACCTTGGGGGTATTCCTTGACGACCAAAAAAGGAGTGTTATTGAACAAGGTGTTCAATTTACAGAAATTGTCAAACATGTTAATGAATGCATTCAGTTGGCGCAGGGAGATCCAAGTAACCAGCATGGATTGAGGGGTGTTAGGCTAACTGACATCTTCCCTGGGGTTGACAATTGGTTTTGTTGTCCAATGGACATCGACTAG